TCCCTTATGCTCCATCTGTTAAATCCTATATTCTTAACTGACAAGTTAAAAGAGTCATATTTCATCTCACCCAAAACTCTTCTAATATCCAGTGGAGAGGTATGCATAGTCCATGAGAGTATGTGCATCTCAGAGTTCTATCTCAAATTGAAACAATTTTATGACCACTTATCAAAGACCGTAAGTTATGATGAACATGTATAACTGACGATGTATTCAGGATCATGTTTCTGTACATATATATCAAACCGCATCATGGTTCTCTCCATATCACATGGATAGGCATATCAGGGCCTTAGGAGTATATGTATCCTTGAACATGTCTCACAGTGAGATGGCTTTCATGTCTTCTATCATCGATCGTAGGTTAAACTTGAACATGCTTTACTGACACGCTATTACTATCATATATTTTATCGGTCGTAAGTCATGACATATAGGGACTGACTAACGAGTCAAGACTCTGAAGGCATATTGGGGCCTCCATGTGATGAATCTTTGGCATATCACATCTTTCATATCTTCATATCATGGTGCATATCTAAGTAGGTGTTAACAAGAACTGTACTTGTATCTTATCGACCGTCTGTTAAGACAATTATTCAGCATGCGTTACGAACTTCACTATATTTTGACATCTTCGTCCTATCAATAGTTCGTGAACATACATAGTCTTATATGGTGACTATGAAACATGTTTTTCACCCAATATATATCTTCAAAGGCCAAGCTTGTTAAGATCATATGTCTTTCATTCAACATCTGTTAAAACAACTTGTCCAACATTCGTTCACGCTTTTATTAATACCTCCATCGAGCATCGGTTTAACACTTTTCATATCGATATCTTTGTCAACCGTTGGTTAGTATACACTTCGCCGTATATGAAGACTAGAAGCATACTCAACCCAAGGCATATCTTTAACCATCCATCTTTAAGACTTTTATCTCCTCAATTTCTATCAAACATTTATTAAAATGTATTTAGCCTTGTATGTAACTAAAAAAACACCCAACACAAGCCCCCTACTTTAATTATTTAGTTATGTTAAAATGTGTTTTTAAGTTGAAATGATAATATTCTTAAAAGAAAAGATTGTGTTATATTTTTGTGGGAGTTAGTTTTGATCAAGATTATATTATCTTTGACTTCCTACAAGTTTTGACAAAGATATTTGTAAATTCTAGAAGGATTTTGACAAATATATTAGTAAATTCTAAAAGGATTTTGACAAAGATATTAGTAAATTCTAGAAGGATCTAGAGTATTTTAAATCCTATTTTGATTAGAATTGGATATGGTTCAAATATTAGATAATGTTCCTAATTGTTCTTCCTTAAATCTTGTTGACTTGTTTAAGGGTTGGATGGCTCAGGTTTTATTCTCTCTCACCTCATAGTTTTTCAAAATTCTTATTGGTCAAACTTTTTCATTAGATAAGCATACCTAAAAGACTTGTATCCTATAAACAGCAGGTGTTTCTCAATTCTCTACACAAAAGAGGCCTCTCTCTCCTTCATGCCCCAGATTTACTCTCTCTCATTTTTTTTGTTGATAGTTCTCTCTCCTCTCACTCGTCAAGGGCGCAAGCCACCCTAAAAGAAAATCCAAGGGGTTGCAAACCATGTGAAAAAAACTCCTAGTTAGGGTTTGATGGAAGAGTGAGGCAAGCCCACCTTAAGAAAAGGGAAGTTTTTTTTTGTGGCATTGCCCTAAATTTGTTCCCATAAAATCCTAATTGTGTTTTGATGCTCTTTAAACCCTAGATTAAGAGGTAGTGCTTATAAAAGCTTCCCATCTCTAAAATTCTAATTAATAAGATAAAAAATTTGTCGTGGTCAAGAAATCAGGTGTGAGGTGTGCTAAGTCCTGTGGGGGTAACGCTATGCACTATCCGATAAGTCTTCCCATCTGTTTTATTTAATTTCAATTAACTGTATCTGTATTGTGATTTTTCAGGGACATAGTTTGTACTTAAATTGATAGTGGAAGATTCTTGGGTTGTGTATTTGTTTTTTTTGCTGTAAAAATAATGGTCAATTTACAGTAGTATAGTGTCGCACTTGTAAGTGGAATTTGGTCTTATTAATAAATAAAAAAGAAGCAATTTTTTATTTTATTATCTTAAATTCCACACAGCTACACCTTCATGTGTGAATAGATTGGAATTCCATCATTTTTCTTGCCATTTAGATAGATAGGTTGCAATGTTTGGAACGTATTTGTCTTTGACATTTACATTAATATTATCATAGACATGATCTCCAAAGGCAAATGCAACAGCCTTCTTATCATCATTTTGATACTCGAATGTCTTCTTTTCTTTTATATTTACCTTGCATGAGAATTTCTAAGATTGAGAATTACAAGTCCAATCTCTAGAAAGGTTGATGTCTATCTTTCTTGTAATATCAGCTACAATTATTTTCCCTAAGCAAGAGATGTAATTCCGCTTTATTTCACATTGATTTTAAGATTCTCTCGTGAGTAATATCAAAACAAATTCTATTATCAAGTCTTGTTCCATTGCAGCAGATCTGAACCCTTCCTTCTCTTCCGTTGGTATGCAACTTTGGAGAATCATGGTTGCTGCCTTACTATGAATCTTATGGAAAGAACGCAACCTGAGAAACTTTGAAGGCATTTCCAGAGATGTTGATTCTCTTAAGATGGATATCCAGCGCACGACAGTCTCCTGGGCCTACATTGTGCTCCCTCTCTCTGTTGTGCCCAATCTTTCTCTCTATGCTTATTTCCGTGACCTCATCACATTTAAGAAGTCTCGCCTGTCACTTCATTGCGTCTGGGTTAAACTCTCGTCTGGCTGGTTTAAACTTAACTTCGATGGTAGCGTTCAAGGTTCCCACTCGGGTGGAGGGGCGATATTGCGGGACCACCAAGGAGTGACTCTCTGGTCTTTATCGGAGACCTTCCATTTCTGTGAAGTCAATGAAGCAGAGTTGTATGCTCTTAAGATGGGGGAGTTACGTCTTGACCCTTCATTCTCCAAGATTATCATCGAAGGAGATACAACTAATGTTATTGGCTAGTGGCGTCCTCCTGCTGCCCTGGAGGCTTAGTGGTGCCATGGATGTGATCTTGTGGGCTTTGAGAGATTGGGAAACTTCCTTCAGACATGCAAATTCTGAGGCCAACACTTTAGCTGTCCTGGCCACTGCATCTTAGGGATTCCTTTGGCTGTCCCTTTGCTTTTATGTTTTGTTCCGGTTTTTTTCCTTTTTGCCTTTTTCTTCTTTCTTTCTTCTTTGTAACTAGCTCCTTCCTTATCTAAATGAAATATCACCTTTTCTCAAAACAAAAAAAGAAAAGTCTTGTTCATGATCTCTATTTAAGTTGCTTTAAATATGAAATTAAAGTAGATCACGTTTGAAAGCTATGAAATTCCAATGCTTTTTTTCTTCTTCATGGTTTGTTTGGATGCCCAACTTCCTTGGTGTGTAATATGTGATATTGACAATCTTGGGCTCCATCAAACTTTGTGTTATTTTAGTTCACATAATGAAGTTCTGATGGACACTAGGTGCGTGTGTGTTTTTATATAGCAGGTTGATCTAGAATTAACAACCCCTCAAAATGTAAAAATTAATGTTAGATTGGACTATGATGGGTATATTTATCAAAATATAATTATTTTTTATTTACAAAAATTATTCTAATAGATAACTAATCATTAAGGATAAATATGAAATTTTTATGAAAGTACAACGGTATTTTTGAAATTTAGTGTGTTGAAACTTTATTTGTATAATACCCTTGTCTTTTAATAAAAAATTCAACTTTACCTCTTGCGAAGATGACTAAAATATCATTGTATCTTTCACTAATAGTTACACATATACTCTTACTTGATTAACAATATACCACAAAAAGAAATTTTTTAAAAAAAAATTAAAAGAAACACGTAATTAATAAATCTATATTTCACAACTCATTTTGACATAGAAAATTGTTTCACGAGTCAATAGGTGCAAGAGCCTATTGACATACAAATGTCCATCCTAAAGATGGACGTTATCTAAAGTGAATTGTCCATAAATAAGATATGAACAGTGCATAAAAAAATACTAAAAATTATATTTTTAATTTTAAAATTTTATTTTTATTTTCATACTTATGATTATCTTGGCCTAGGTGATGAATCTACAAAAAAAAAATTAGAAAAAAAAAATCATCTAAAATAAATTTTAATGGGGGACACATATGCACATACGAGTCGAGCCGACTCGTAGAAACCATATCCTTCTAATATTAACCGTTGTATTTTGACGAGTGATATCACCGCCTCTAGCCAGTCAAGATATTAGTTTATGTTGAGATAGTCACTCTTTAAGTCATTATCCAAATCTGCCCATCGGGTGATTAAAAATCAACGAAATAACCCTTTACGCTAGCTATAAATAGGAATCAGATTCTGATGACTTCGTAAATATAGATCATAGTAGTTTCTTTCTCATCTCGTATTCGTCCATTAGATTATCCTTTTAAGCTTTGTTGAGAGCCTAATATGCTGCCTCATAAACACCATCATCAAGCCAAAAATTTGTTATGGTAATTTGGGGAATCGGAGCTGAAAAAAAAATTTGCTAGTAGATGTCATAAATCCAATATTCAAATCAAATCATTCGTAAACGTGCTCTTCTATGACAAGTACCAAACTTCCTTATTGACAAAAATTTCAAGCAATAAGAACCATTCGTTCTGAAACCCATAAGTGAATTTGGAATGTGTTTCAAGATTTACATTACATCACAAATCCTAGTCTCTGTTGTTGGTTCTACAACTAGTCTAGAACGACACACCAATGTTCTCATGAATGAAGCATATAGAACTGTTCATGAGGGTCGCCTAAATATCACATTTGTAAGCTCCTTTAATGCTTGAAACCTTATGAGCAGTAGTCGTGCACCACATGATTTCTATGACGATTTAAAGAAGATTGTACCAAAAAGAAATCACTAGATTTAGAGTCTTATAGATGTGTTTTATATTTTGGTGAACTGCATAATATTAAGGGAAAATAATGAGTTCTTGACATCTATCACAGGTTTACTTTGTGAAAAACAAAAAAAAGCACTTTTCAGAGGTTTTGTCTACGACAGCAGCAATCATTTTTGCACATAACAACCACCCATGCACTTCTTTTTCATGGAAAATAAACTTCCTCCAGTGCTCAATAAAGAATAATTGAGCTCCATCCCCAATATGAGCTTATGCGCCCCTACTCTCTCCATGAGAAAGGAATAGTCCAACTTCAGTGCGTGCGCTACTTGTAGCCTCTAAAGTATGAGCATCACAAACAAATCCAATTCCATCATAAGGGAAGAAAGCATGCTGCAAAATTTACATACAACAGATCCATCCAGTTCACATCACAGTAATACAATGCTCCAACACAAGAATCGCGGACTCAAATGAGCTCCCCAAACTTGCTAGTACTTTCAACCAAAGATACTGCAATGGGTTACCTCATTCCGCTGTTCCAGCAATCTTCTTTTTGAGTGCTTCAATGTCTGAGGCTAGTTCCTTCCTGCTTGACTACGGACAAGAAACCAGATTTATTTTATTGAGGATAAGAAAATTTGATGAATAAAGAGATGAACAATATCCCACTGCAATACGTTAAATAAAAGAAAATCAATAATCATTCTCAAGAGCCATTCCCTACCTTAAACAGGAGGTAACGGTATACAAACCATCCGGTATAGCCAAGCCCAACTAACTCCATAATCTTAGGGAGCTGCCAAGGATATCAAGACTGGGTATGAGAATATGTAGACATATTGGGTTTTATGTGTTTTGTTAGGCTGCTTCATTCATAGTGTATTCTAAACATATTCAATATTTATGGACACTGATACCCTTCCTCAATTCAGTAATTTTTTCTTGGGATACTTTAGGTAACTAAGTGTGAAGTATGTTTCCAGAAAAACAAAAGGTGTAAAATAATAATTTCACAAAAATAAAAGTATTTATGGTCTATTGTAGAGAATGACATTACCCACATTGAATATGACATCATTCACAAGGGATATAACAAAACCCACACAAACATAAATTGCTTTTCAAAAACCCTTATGAAGTTACCCTTAAAAAATAACTTTGTATGAAAAGGCAAGGTCGTAAGTGCCTAATGAATTTTTAGTTGGTTAAGGGAGTCCTCCACGAGGAGTCGCTTAGCAAAACCCACACATACACACACACACACACACAAGAAAATCAACAAGGGATACAACTAAAAAGATCACAAGAAACAAACACCGACTGCAAACAGAAGTATATTGGTTAAAAGGCATACCAAGGGAACTGAATTGACTGCACCAATGACTACAGTAGACAGCCAAAGAGCCACCAGCGCGCCACCCCCATAGAGAATAACCGTAGACTTGTTTTCAACTGCATCCCACTATAAACAGATATCAAATCAGAGGAATTCCCTTTTCTTTTTTCTTCTTTTTTCTTCTTTTTTTTCCTAGGCCAAATTTAGAGAAATTATATGATTTACGGGCTAAGGACGACAAAAAAGTATCAATAGTTACATTAGAGAATGACAACCTTCTCTTTCAAATCAGAAAAAACCTCTTCCACTTGAACAGAACTAGATGTCTCTTCAGAAGATGAGGCTCTCACTAGTAGTGAATAAGACCTCCGTAAGTCTGCAAAGAAGAAAAACAATGCCTATCGCATTCAAACAAGAAACCAAGGAGCGAAGAAGTGAACAAGGAAGTAGAAAAGTACAAGTACATATCGCATTCAAACATGATATTTAAGAGGGTCAGAGAGAGAGAGAGATAATGTGTGCTGTGTACATATCCACATAAAAATATATGGTGATAATGTGTGCTGTGTACATATTCACATAAAAGTATATGGCTAAAGCTTTTCAGATTCTACCCAATTGGAAGAGAATGTGTCATACATGCAGTTCTTAATTGCGAAACAGATGGACCAATAAATATGACTTCAAGTCCATCATAAAAACTATGATGGAAGGAAATAGTTGGTAATTCTTATGATTATTACAACACAAGTTACTAGTTAATCCTGGAAAGCCATCAGACCAAGATTTGCCATTAGAATTAAATCCCCTTGGACTGGATTGTAAAAGTACTGTTGAACTTGATAGAAGTGAGACAAATTGAATTCCTGAACATAGTTATGACTTCTTCAAATAATTATAGAAATATTGGACAAATTGCAGAGTTTTGCCTAAAATTGAGAACCAATACATAGACCAATAGATAGTAAAACGGAAGAAAATATTTCAAACAAAGAGTTACCTGACTAGAATATTGAAAAAATAGACATGCCTCGACAGCCAAAATATTGACAATGACACATAGTCAACATCAGACAACATTCTCAAACGTAGATCACAATCACATCACCATATAGACGTCGGGGACTATTTTCCTAAGACTAATATTCATCCAAACTCTCCTTGAAAAGCCTTGGGAACCATTGCAGTTCTTAATCCCAAACCTACCAGCTTAAGATGTCCAAAAGAGTTTCCTTGGGCTGGGTTGTAAGTTTCATGTTGGAGTTGGAGAAGCAAGATGAGCATAGATCTTGAAAAATCTTTAGCAGTCAGGTAAGATGTGTGATCAACAATTGAATGAGGTTTCAAGGATACACACAAGACAAGGGCCAAACATAAAAATGATAATCTCTTTTGGGTGTTTCTTGGCTAGCAATCTTAACTACTTCCTCATTTCTACTCCTATTATTACTAAACTTACATTCTATATCTAGCTAATTTTAAAACCTTTAGATTCTAAAGCATCTTTCCAAGTTCTAACTTTACATTAATGTCGCCTCTAATCTCATCAATCAAAACTATGTTATCCACGAACAACATACACTACAATACCTCATCCTATAGATTCCTGGCTAACTCGTCTATAACCAAAACAAAGAGATATGGGCTCAACGCTGACCCCTGATGTACGCCAACTGTAACTGAAAATTCATTTGTATCTCCACTAGTTGTCCTCATACTAGATAGCGCTCCCTCGAACATGTCTCTCATCATGTCAACATATCCTCTAGAGACTCATTTCATTTCCAACATCTACCAAATTAACTCTCTTGGTACAATATTGTATGCTTTCTCTAAATTAATAAAGATCATGCCTGTCGTATGCTTTCTCCAAATCAATAAAGACCATGCCTATCATAGTTCTCTAAATCAATAAAGACCATGTGAAGGTCTTTTCTCTTTTTCCTAAACTTATCAATTAGTTGCCTAACTAAGAAAATAGCCTCAATTGTTGACCTCCCTGGTACAAACCGAACTGATTTTTGGATACACTTGTTTCATATATTAGTCGTTGCTCAATCATTCTCTCCCACAGCTTCATAGTGTGGTTCATAATTTGATCTCTCGATAGTTCGAACAATTTTGTATGTACAAACTATGAGAGAAATAAACAAAAATATGAGAGAAAAATAAGGTATATCCCCAGCCAAAATGAAACCTCGATTACTCCTACCAACATGCAACTTTTCCTTTAAAACTCCAGATTGGGGGCTCGTAATGCCCCCTTAGGGAAAAATAAGCCCCCAAAGGGAAAATAATGGGCCCAACATTGGCATGTTTGACTCCCCACACATGAGAAAAAATACAAAGCTTAGATCTATTTTTGTCTGCCATAACCCTAAATTGGAGACTTTCTTAACTATAGGGGCCAAATTTGATGAAACAAGTTTCAATAGACTTGATATCAAGGTGATTGACTAATATGTTGCCCAATACCAAGGCTTCGATAGTGATATCAAATTCAGTATTGGATTTCATAGATTATAGCAAGTTGACAACTTATGATGGATTACAGCAGATGGGGCGATGCGAAAATGTGGCTCGATGTGGTCCAGATGAGGGTGCATCACCCCGATGCGGTCAATAAATACAAAAAAAACCAAAATCTCAAAAAATAGGTTAATGCATGGAAAAATATGAAGGTGATTTATGTGATAATCAGTATTTAATTTATTCATTAACTCCAATATTATCGGTTGTCGAAGACTCTGAATCCCCTAATAGATGACATTAGAAATAGAAAGTAGAAACTTGCAACTTGAAACTAACTTTATAAAGGATATTAGAACTTAGAGGATATCATATAATCATAATTTATAAACATTCAAAACCCATAATCACAAATTCGCATTTGTAAACTTTTAACTTACGAACTCCAAAGCAAAGATACATACTACTAAAAGGGTGTGGTTTCCATGAGGTTGCAACCTTAAACAATCTAAGGTGCACCTACAAATTTTATCATAATATATAATTTTGATGTAAAATGTTTTTAGGATTATCTCAAAATCTATTTTTATATCTAATTATAAAATTTTAAATTCCAAAATGGTTAAAATTAAGTAGATCTATAAATATATGAAAATCTTGAAAATGGACAGTGCAGATAATATGTTGTAAGATGCACTATTTCTAAGACTCAAAATCTTTTTATTTCTCATAGTCATACATCTCGATGTCGAAATGATCAATCACAGGGTTTTTCAATATTAAAATAACTTTTTCCGATGGATTTTTTAGGTGCATCCATAGTTCTACATTTTAAGGTTGCAACCTTATATAAACTTTTTGCCTACTAAAATTCTGTGAAGAGTTCAAGATATCTAAAAATTTTCAATATCTTTTCGGCACTAGAAACCCTCAATATGTTGAGAAATCTATGCTCAATGTCTTCAAAACAAAGCCCAAGCTAATCCTAATTGATAACCCAACCAACACCAAGAGCAAATCAACCATTTGTTTTTAGGAAAAATGTCCGCCAAATTATTTTTCCTCTACGTT